GCTATTGAAGCCATTCATGATGTAAGTGTACACAGTAGAAGAAGAAAAATAAACAAGTCTATATTCTCCAACTCAAGTCCAATAAAGCTTTTCTTCGCGCTTTCTTTTTACACTTGTCTCTTGCTATTCTCTTGCTATCTACACCAGTTGCTTTCATTTTACTCCTCCTCTCTTACACTTTTATACTACGACTGCAGTTTCTTTTCACAAGCACTTCTTATCGGCCAATCACTTGTGTTCTTTCACGCGTCCAATCACATCTCTTTTTAACCAGCCCACACATTTCTTGAATAAAGGCGCGTATTTCAAATTACTGTGAACATAAAATTTTGAATAAAAATAAAACTAGAAGAAAAATTAAAAAAAGAAAGTTTTTATCACTTTAAAATGTAAGATGAATCCATCTGGGCATCGTTTATGATCAAGCAAAGTGGCATAATAATAACCTGTACTTTATTCCAGAGACGATCTATATCACCCAACAATCAAGAAGAAGAATTATCAGTCTTGGGCTCCAGCTGTGCACCAAGTGTTTTATGTGCAAACTTTTCCTCGAGACGCACCATAACCCCACCAAATTATTTCAAGTGCTCATGTACGCCGTCAAGATCGGCGATCGACGAATCACTATCGGAGCAATCTTCGTCGGAACAAAGCTCAGCAAAGGAAGAAGAAGAGGATGAAGAATATGATGAAGATAAAGAAAAAATGCAACGGATAAAGACAAAAAATTGGAAGAAGTACGACAAAAAACATATTAACCAATCCGATCACGAAATATCGATTCAAAGAATCGTCGAAATCTGCGATAAAGAGAGGCCCAGTTTAGAAATAAAAATAGACGATATACCGTATGTGGATGATCTAGATACGGCGGAAACCGTTTTCTCAAACGACCGGATTAAGATCAAAGAATCGACCGACAAAGCTTCCGCGAATGCTCGAAATAAGCTGGAGAGAATGGCCAGCCGAGCTTCGTTCATCATCGAGTCGGCTCTCTGGGTACAAAGATTAAACTCGAAGACGTCAACGGGTAGCGATCGATTGGATAGTTCGAGATCAAACACGCCTGATCGATCAACGAAAAGAAAGCCCACTGTAGTTCGTAGAGAATCGAAGATTAAGCACGTTAGAAAGTGTAGGAATCAGGATAGCCCACCAAGGATGAGTAATAAGGATAAAAAGCTACTGAAAATGATTCTGGTGATATTTTCATCGTTTCTTATTTGTTACTTACCAATCACAGTTACAAAGACTTTCAAGGATGCCATTGATTGGAGGGGCCTGAATATCGCGGGATACATCTTAATTTATTTAACTACTTGTATAAACCCTGTGGTATATGTGGTGATGAGTTCAGAGTACAGAAGTGCTTATAAGAACTTGTTGCTTTGTAGAAACGATTCTGGAGTGAACAATACAGTAAGAAAACTACCGGAATGAAGACTTTTTAATTCTCTGCTTGAAATATTAGGTTTCGTAGGATTAAAGTTAAAGGAAAGTTAAAGTGAACAAAAATAAAGCGACTTCTAGATACTTTATAATTTTGTATATTTATATAAATGTCATATAAGTATTGATTATATTAATTGACAATTAAAGAAAAGTTTTAATCATTAATTTCTAAAACAATATAGTAAAATATTATTCGAGATAAATACTTGATAAAAGGATATTATTTGTTGTTTAATTAGAACAATTATTTAAGTTCAAAAAGAAATTATTTTTGTCTATATGAATTTGAAATTTTATACTTTTTAGTATTATAAAATTAGGTATGCTCAACGACTACGTTTTATTAATGAATATGCTATCAAAACCTAATATAAGTTTGATATTAACATTTAGTATACTAAAATTTATAGTTTAACATTTTCAGTAAAACAATGAAACTCATGAAATATTCGCTACTGTATATATTTACTGTAGCGTGTATTATTATTAATATGTACTTAATTTTTGACTTTCTAATCCCGTCATTTATTAAATGCGTGTTATTCTACAGAAAATGATAAAATAGTATAGTGATAGTATAGTAGATAGGTCAGTATATGTATTGAATCTATTTAGATATATAGTTATTACCGAAATGATGCATCGATGTATCGCCATATGACTTCATAATTTTTTATAAAGGGAATTTAGCATATAAAATTAAGTCATATTATTATATAATAATTCTGTAAATACTTTAAATTTTATTTCCGTAGTAAATATTGCTTATATGTTAAATGTAAATGGTAAAAGAAACTTAAGATAATTAAGAAAGTTAAATACATTAAGCTTCTTTATCGTTATAATATTATGTTACCTTTTTAAATATTTACAAAAGTAATACGTATAAAGTATCCTTCCAATATTATAAAACAATAAAATGTATACACATATAAATGAATAAAACACCAAAGATCCTGGACTGCATTATATTATTTTGTATCACTATACTGTGAGATAATGTGGTAATGTCTAATGTATCAGTTTTCTTCTTTTTTATTTTTCCGGATTTATATTTCAACAATATGAATAATTTCCGTAACTAAGTTTAAAATTTTAATTAATTTGAACCCTTTATATTATTTACTCATATTTAATAAATGAAAAGTAGTACTAAAATAATATATTTCGTTAGAAAATATTATTTATTCTTACGATTTAATTTACATTTTAATTATAGTTTAAAATATTATAACATTTAACGATAAATAATAAGAAACAATTGAACAGCGCACAATATACATATATCAAATACAGTATTTGCAAACTGGTAATATTTATAATCTAAAAAATAAAAATGTATGAATTCTGATCATGTTATGAATTGTAGGAGATTTTCAAAACAATCATTAAAAATATTTACCTATAAAATTGTACGTGGCTACATTAATACTGCATTATTTATCAAATTTAAGTAAATATAATTATAAATATATAATTACAATTAAACGAGGTATTAATAATTGCGAAATAAACAATTATAAAAAAATTATTTCTATTCTAATATTTATAATAATGGACGGAGTGAATTTATATTTCTAATAATTTTTGTACAAAAATAGGCAAATGTGCTGATATATCCGCAAAAATTACATGTTCAAAGCGTTTGCGACTTATAATATATAGAAATATTATACAAGTCGAATCATAACTTTGCCTACCAGAAATGTTTGTAAATTTACAAAGCAAAAAATTTTTAAAAGCAATTATTTAATTTCAATGCAAAATATTGTATAATAACAAATTTTTGTTCATACATAAATAGTTTTATTAAAAATATTTCAGTTCATGTTTTTCACTAATAAAAACTTTTATCATTAACAAAATTAAATTAAAAATATTTTTACACTTTCAATCCTTCCAAGAAATATAGTTCCCTTTTATAATTCTAATTTTAAAGTCATGACTTTTGTATTAAATTTCTTGACAGAATTAAATAAAAAAGACAAATTATTATATTTGATTGAAATATGATCTATCTAAGAAGTATAATCTGTATTTCAATAAAATAAAAGACATATCTGGTTGATAAGGTTATCGTTTCACACTGCATTTACGTACGTATGTAACAAAATCATTCAGGTATCTATTCTTTCGTGACCTACATGTTATATCTATATTCAGTGCAATAAATTTACTTGAGCCATTTTTAAGTACATAGTAAATGAAGAAATGTATTTCGTTTGTTTGAATTTTCTTAAGATAGATAAAAATGATCTAAATTTTCTGTGAAATATATCTTAAATCACTATAAGTACACTTATTAAGAGTATTCCTAAAGGGTTATTATAAGTACACTTATGTAAAATGGTCTAGTAATTCCTAATATTATTCTATACTAACATCATAGAGATTCGTTAGTAATATTTTTGTCACATTTACAAAAATATTTATATCATCGTCACGGTAAAAACTTTGTTTAATATTGTAAATATCATTTTTATTTTATTCGATAAATTTTTCTTTAATTATATTATGTTATAAAATTTCATATGAATATTGTATAAACAATTACCAGACCATTTATTTATTATACAGTATTGCTGATAATTATTTATACATGTAATAAAATTGGAGCTTTATTTTTAAAATATCAATTTTTTATCAATTAAACAGTTTAAATAATAAGCAAAAAAATAAAATAAAATTTTAACTGAATATTGAATTGATAAAGATTACTTAATCGGAATTTACTAAATCTTTATATATATAACGATGACAAAAAATGTGAGTAAAATAAAAAATAATAGTAAACAGTAATCTACATGATTTAACGCAACAACTTCTAATGAAGAAGCAATGATGTGAAATAAATTTTCATTGACATTACTTCGTGTAATTAAGAGCAATACTATACAAATTTGAATATTTCTTAGGTACAGCTTAAGAAAATATAAGGCAATTAATAATACATCGCATATCTTATGTAAATACAGTGTGTTTAAAGGAATTAAAAGGATGATCCGTTTAATTGATACTCCATAGTTTCATTTTTGTTCTGTTGTACCATATAGATCAAATTTACGATACAATTAAAATTTTTATAGATTAAATAGAAGTTTCATATATAAACATTATTATATTTAAAAAAGTAGTTCTTTGCAAACTAATTTCATTTTTTATTTGCATAAGTCGACGTAATTATAAAACGAAGATATAAAAGAAATCAACTTTTTTTGTTTATGTAAATGATGATATTCTATATTATAAGTGTTTATGAAAACTATTTACTATCTAATCCTGGCCTTTCTGAAAGACTACAATTTAATTCATGATGCTTACGAAGAAAGAAAAAGAAAAAAAGGAAACAGAAAAAAAAAGAATATCACGTGAATCATCCTCCATATACAAAACAGGAATCACAATCCTATTATCAATTGTATTTTCTAATTTCATACCGCACTCAGTAACATTCTTTCCTTCTAACCGCTATCCCAAATACTGGGACATATTAAAAGTATATTAAATAAAATTATATTAAATAAAATAAAAAAGTCACGGAATATTTAATTCGCATCTAGATTAGGCGGTACAGCTGCACTCTGTATCGTACTGATATTCATTTGATTCGGCCACTTTTTTTGTTCTTCACCTTTTCCGTTCTGCGAATGCGGTGTTACTTTTGTGATATCGAGTGAACCTTTGTCTTTATTCTTGAAGAACATCGCGGCAGCTGCTGCACTAATGCAAATCCCACTAATTATTGTCAGCCACTTCAGGAATCTTTTAATAAACATTTATAAGTTATTAAAATTTATATTCTTTGCTGGCTAAATATAAAATATCCAATTTCATATGTATAGATTAAAATCTTTTTAGCCATTGACTGATTAAAAGTAATATTTGATATCAGTTATTTTATACAAATATAAAATTTACATATATTATAAAGCTTAAATTTCACAGGTTTAAACTCCTCAAAAACCAAATAAATCGTGAACGATAAATTAATTCATTTTATCGCAGTAAATCAAGTTAAATGAGGATATTACTTACCCGACTATGCTTATTGTTTTGAATACGGTTTTCAGTTTTTTCACAAACTCGTCATCGAGTAGTATTCCCTCCTCGACCCAGAATACTGGAAACAGACACTCTGGGAAGTTTTTCATCAACTTGAATTTTTCCACCTTATGAAGGGCTATATTAAATTGTAGCCTCTTGTGCGCGCTTAAAGGAGTGGCTGTCATTGGTTCAAAGTCCATAGCAATGCCATGATCTTCCTATGAAAGGAAAACAGGTTTATTTATTTTCTTTCCTTTTTCTTTTTTTTTTTTGGTATTCAAATAATAACAATTGAGCATACACTATAACTCAAGATTTTTATAAATAACTACATACACTGAGTAAATAAAAAATAGAAATAGATAAAATGTGTTGAATCTTATTGTTAGGAGGACATTAATCTCTTTAAGGGAGAAATTAAGAATTCAAAGGAGCATTTAATATTTAATAAATTATCACTGTTGTACTACTTTGCTTTTCTTTATAAAATATAATTACATTATATTTTATATAAGATTTCACATATTAAGAGAAAACCCAGCTATAACCTAACATTCCTGCACTTACAATGTCTGAAGAAAGTATTTACAAATTTTTTTATATAAAATTTTGGTTTCTTTATTTTGTTATTTTTGTTATGTTAACTCTGTTCAACAGCAAAATTCATTTGTTACTAAAATAGGAGGAATTAAATCTTAAAGATACAAAGAAACGAGTTAAAAATAGAAACAGATCAACATCTACCTCGTTCGGATGAAGTCCCTGAACCATTTGACAATATTTTTCTTCTGATCCAAGAAAATGTGGTAGAGAAGCGATAAGTGGAGCACCTACGCATTTGGTCAGATCTAGCAGGTTCTTTGTTAAACAGGTTTCTGGGGTTGGGCAAAAACACTTTTCCAAGGGATTTGTACTCATATCTCCTAAATCAGCTGTATAATGAAACGTATTGATACCTGTGAAACAAATTAAAAATAAATATTTTATAATTCAAAAGAGTGTATTTAAATTTAATAATAATGTAAGTTTCACTATGAAATATCGGAAAAAACGAGCGAAGAAACGTTTTTCAAGATATGTAAAATAAAAAACATTCTTAGAAGTTTTGAGTAGCATTTCTAATACCTATTTTATTTTAAATTTATTTTTTATAACATATATATTTACATATACATCTACAGCATACTTATAGTTGTATTATACATAGCTTTCACCTTTGACTTTAGTTTTGTGATCAAAACGGGCACCCAAGCTTCTACAAATGTCTGGAGAAAAGGAAACGATATCATCTTTTTCCGTGAGCAATGGCGCGAAGATTGTCGAGTCTGTGCCATTGAACTGGTTGCAATGGTCTGCGGACCAAATATCCAATGCTGTTTTTCCATTGACTTCGGTCACTCGTCCAACGTCCTTGTAATTTTTTATTCCTCGCATAACTCGTATACGGTCAGGAAGGACTGTGCCATTTTTCTAAAAAATGAGACAAATGTTTAGAGTCACGATTAATGTCACACTCAAATGACTCAAAGTCAAGTGACTTGTTTAACGCAAGTAAAGTTTATGGAAAAATTTGAGTTAATTTAATTTAAAATATTTTTATGAATATAGTATTGTCTTAAAAATATATTATTATAGAATCATAATGATGTAATGTATGTATGTACAGGGCCAAATAAAGCGAACAAATAACGTCCCGGTCCATCAGGAATTAAAGCGTCGGCATTCTCTTTCAAAGCGTTACAGATGGCGGTAGAAGCGAAATCCTTCACTGTACAATCAACCGGTATACCATCGAAAAGTATTTCTCTCGCTTTCGCTCTCACGAAGACGGACTTAGGTTTCTTGAAAATACTATCCACAGCCTTATCTATAAATATGAATGTTAATATTAATTAAATTAATATTGATATGTTATTTCCTACATAACAAAATAGAGAAGAATAAATAAACTGATTAAAATTCTAGAAAGGAATATTATGGTGATATAAAAGAAGGAAAAGTAAATGAAATTAAAAAATTAGTTACATAGAAATCATCCATTTTGGTTACTCTGTTGGATTTTACATAAGGTTTACCATTATCTAATTTATAGAGAATGAAATTTTTATATTTTCATATAATTATTTTATCTGATCAGCTACTGTGTGCTATTTTCCATGATTCTCGAGTAATTAATAATTAAAAAGTAATTAAACATGGTTAATAATTAAAAATGACAAGTATTCCCTTATTACTGTATACCTCAAATCTAAATACAGAAGTCTATAAGCACTGCACACAACACTATGTAAATATCGATATTAAGTGTACCAATATAAGCGTGAGAAACTATAAAGAAACGAACAGAAGCATATGCAATAGGCTAAACAAAGCGTTACGCAAATCAATTGATTCGTTCTTTCAAGGCGAGAGTAAGTAACTTATCGTTAGCTAGGTATAAGTAAAACATTTCTCTCCACCCTCTTTCGTTTAGCCATAACAGAAATTCTTAAGTATTCTCAACTAAGGCCAAGCCGACCTTTACTTTTGGATCGAAATAAAGAAGCATTCGATCTGATGAAAGAAATGAAGCCTAACGTCGTGGGAATGATTCACACTTACTGAGGATTCCTATAGCTGCCGGTTGTTGCTGCAGGGTGAGTTTGACTATGCTCAGAATTAGAACATGCGGGATTACTATTTCCTCCTCGCCCGTTAAACTGCCGCTTTTCGATGGATTAAAATACCAAGTTGATTTTAGACTGTACTCCAAGGTGTCGTCTTCTTCTCGATCGACCATATCCACCTTCTGCTTGTATTCACTGGAAAATATCAGGTATTAATATACTGTAATTCCATTAAATAATTTAGCTACAATATGGTACCAAGTCACTACAAGGTTATAAATACATATCGCTCTGATTTTGAGGTATAATTTTGTAAACAATTAAATAATAAATATGCATAAAAAATAGGAGCTTTGGTGCTTTAGTGTGTCATTCCAATTGCTTATGCATGATTTGTTACTTACACTAGTTTATACAAATTTTATGAAATGTACCATAAATTCATTTTAGGGTTACCGGGGAGAGTTTCTCGGTCTTCCCCCACTTCCAACGCTGTTCCTGCATCGCTTGCTCATCACTTACCAACATGACCGAAAGCCGGAGAGTAGGCAAACCGAGAGACTCTCCCTTACTCCTAACGCCAAGATGCCATTTTGGTAACGAATAAAAAATTTTTCAAACGAATGACACTCTTGTTTCAGTTATTAAGGAGTGGAATACTATAACTTTCAATAGTTATGTTTTTTTAATTATCTATCTAGGTTAGTAAGTAAAGTAGTAAAAGTAGTAAGTAAGTAAAGTAAGTAAATTGCAGTTTTCAATTAGAGACAATTTTTGTCATTCCCTTTTTATTACATTTCTAAATATAAAATGTAAATTTGATATTCTAGAATTTCAATTTGAACGAAGAAAAATAACAGTATAGAAACAAATAATAACGTAATATGATAATGTAATATGATAATATGTAATGTAATAAAATGTAATTTTATACAAAACTGAACCTGATATCTACGATAGACATCTTGCTGCAGATATGAGCCGTGATGGCGCTAGTGAGTTAAATGAAAGATAGTCTTAACACTGCCTACTCGTGAAATGTCGTACTTAAATGTTCATTATGATAGGAATTAATTATTTGGAATAGAAAATTATTTAAATTGAAATAGTATTTAATAAAGACTCACTCATAAAAAAATGGCCCTACTTCCTGGACAATCGGCGTCGCGCCTCCCATGATCTCCATATGATTCGTTACGTTGAACAGATAAATTTTGAAGTCCAGTGGAAGAGGGAAGTCCGACCATAAGTCCCGCATTTCCGAGTTAGCTTTCAACGCTATTTGCTATTCATAATTATTTAATTAATATTTAAATCTGATCGAATACTACTTTAATATTTTCAACTATAGTTGACATATATATAATTTATAAATTATATGTATAATATAAATATTATACATATATTTATATTTATGTTTAGATTTATATTTACATATTTATTATACATATAACTATTATTATCAACCTTGATAATATCAAGATTAGAATTTGATATTAAATGCTGAGTGAATTTTAATTATGTCATGGAGAAACAAACAATGATTAAAAAACGCTACTGGAATAAATTTAAATATAGCGCCACAATGTCACGTAATATCGAATTATAAATATACAGGTAGCCCTCCTATAACACGGTAGATAGATTCCTAGAAAATGCCGTGTTGTGTGAAACCGAGTTGTATGAGACTCAGACGCAGTACAAAAAGGAGGGTTATGTTCCGAAAATTTACTAAAAACAAATTTCTTTTAATTCTACATAAACAACTTAATTTTTATTAAAAATATAAATGTATGTACAACACAAAACAAAAAAAAAACAAAAATATTATTTTAATTTAATGCAACTTTAATTTAATAAATTTCTTCGTCGTCACTGCTCCCGTGTTATAGGATACCGTGTTGTAGAAGGGTTCCCGCAATTTATGAATCGTGTTATAGTGAAATCGTGTTATAGTGAAACCGTGTTATAGGATGCCATGTTGTAGGAGGGCTACCTGTATAATGAAATAAGAAATTAATTTTAACCGATCAAATCATTAATTGAATAGAAATTTTACTGTACTTTATTGCAATTTAAATTATGATCAAAATATTTAAACAATAACGATTTAATTATTCTAACGTATTTTTAATTTACGCATTACAAATTTAATGTTTTTTGAATGTGTTGGTATATCCTTGTACACATTCATACATTATTCTTTCCTATCTCACCTACATTATTTACATGTGTTGTTGTGTTTAAAATATACAAAAATCCCTAGTCTAGTTATAATTTATTGAAAGGTGAAAAATATGATTGACTGAAATCTCAACACCGCTAACAACTCTCGATCCGCGATATGTGCAAGGAATAAAATAAAAACTTAATCATTCTATATAATGTCCCACATTATCTAATTAAATATAGGATAGAAAATTGTTACCCATAGACGTAACACTTTATTATGATTCCGAGCGTTTTGTCGCCACGTCATCGATGTTCTTGTGTTTCTTTAAAACTGTTTATTATATAAAATTATAGTTGATTCTCATAAATGCAAACCATAGGAAGAAAATGCGATAAGTTCATTTCTATTGATATTCTGACTCACGTTACTCAGTAGATAAAAGAAAATATTTTAATTTAGTAACATTTTAATATGACAATATTTTAATCTAATAATATTTTAATATAGTAATATATTAATATGACACTATTTTAATTTAATAATATTTTAATATGATACTATTTTAATCTAATAATATTTCAATATAGTAATATAATTTAATAGTATAATTAAAGTATAATTATAGTATAGCGTAGTATGCTATACTATAGTATATAATATAGTAAATATATAGTAATATTAATATAGTAATACGAGAACTTGATTTTTATGTTTTATATTTCAATTAAATATACATTAAACAAAATGTAAAATGTAAAGTTTATAAAAATATACAACAGTATAAATAACGCAAAGCGCAATTTAAATGCGTATAAAAAAAATTAATTTATCCTTAAGACCATTTAATGTCCAAATTCGTGTCCCTTCCCTTTTGAATCTGTTTATTTCATTACTTGTATGTGTGCATAGTTATATTTACTTATAAAAGATTTCTACATTATTATTTATATATGTATAT